TTGGGCCCCAAAGTCTGAAAATATTGCCTACCTTGGGCTATTTGGTAGTTTCCCTAAATAAGGGGGCCCTATTTAAGACCCCTATATACTGTAATCCTTATTATAGGGACCCCCAATAAGGTACCCCTAATTTGGGGAAACCCCCATTTGGACCCTTGGGAGAAGAGTCCGGGAATTCAGGCACCCATGTGTATTTCCGTGGGCCTTGAGTCTGAACCTCAGAACCCCGAGAAATTTAGGGTTTTTTTTGTTGAGGGGTTTAGTGGTTTAGGGTTTAAGGGTTTATAGGGTTTAGGGTGAAGCTGTCTCCCCTTAACAGTATCAGAACATCCCCTGAATACTCTTCAAGAGGCGCTACACTCCTGTTGTATGCCCCTACCTCAACCGGACCTCAAAAAAGGAGCCTCAGCTCTAAGCCATAGGGTTTAGGTTTTCTTACAACGGTTTAGGTTTGCGGTTTAGGGTTTAGGGCATAGCTCCTAAAAGAAACCTACATCGAATACCTGCCCAGGCCTGGGAAGATCTAGAAAGTAGAGCCTGCTTGAAGGTTCCTGGAGATTACCCAATAGTCGTATAGGGTACCATATTTACTTTCTAGCTCCTCCCGGGGTTCTGGGACAAAGACCCTAAACCCTAGATCCCAAACACCAGACCCCAAGCCCCTAAGCCCAAACCCTTATAACCCTGTGGATGGGCAACCAGGTCGCCCTCTTCTGACCGATTTCGACATCCTCCGGCGTTGTCACAAACCTTGGTTTAGGGTATAGTGTAGATAGAGAATATTGTGCGACCATGAGGGGGGTTGCTCCAAAATTCGGTTACATTTTGGGGCCCCCTTTAATAAGGTTTGAAGTTTGTTGTTGAGGGTTTGGGGCTTAGAGTTCAGGCTTTAGGGTTCATGGTTTAGGGTATCGTTCATGGACCATGGGGAGTGAGAAGTAGGACACAGGAGTTCATGAAAGTCCCTAAACCCTAAAATGCAGGACGTAGGGTGGCTCAAAGACCTTGGGTCAATCCCCCGTCCAGTAATGGGTACATACCACATTCCTGTAGGGGGGAAGGTTCCAAACACCCGAAACCCGAAGCCAAACCTTAAAGTCTGAACCCCAAACCCGAAATCCTAATTCCTAAACCCCAAACACTAAATCCTAAACCCTAAACCCAAAACCCCAAGTCCTAAACCCTAAACTCAAGGCTACCCACGATGGTGGGCGGCGCCTCTTGGGCCGCCTCAGACGGCGTGGGGTGGGTGATTGTGTTTAGATGAAACCCCAAGCCCAAGCACTAAACCCTGAACCCTAAGCCCTAAGCCCTAAACCCCTAAACCCTAAACCCTAAACCCCAAGGCCTAAGCCCTAAACCCTAAACCCTAAACCCCAAGGCCTAAGCCCTAAACCCTAAACCCTAAACCCCAAG